TAATAATTACTGTATGGCAGTGGGAATTGATGTTGAACATCCTGTTGCACATGTTCACACTCAAAATGGTCTAGCAGAATCATTGATTAAACGACTGCAACTTATAGCTAGACCATTGATAATGAGGACAAAACTCCCCACTTCAATATGGGGACATGCTATTCTGCATGCAGATGATCTAATTCGAATAAGATCAAGTGCACACCATACATACTCGCCATTACAGTTGGCATATGGTCGAGAACTAAATATTGCACATATAAGAATTTTTTGTTGTGCAGTGTATGTACCAATTGCTCCGCCCTAACGTACAAAAATGGGGCCTCAAAGAAGGTTGGGAATATATGTTGGATATGAATCTCCATCAATAATCAAATACCTTGAGCCAAAAACAGGTGACGTTTTTACAGCTCGGTTTGATGATTGTCGTTTTAATGAAGAATTATTCCCCCCTTTAGGTGGGAATGAAAAGTAAATTGAGAGAAATATTGAATGGAGAACATCATCACTATCATTATCTTGATCCTCCCACCAAACAAAGAGAGGAAGAAGTTCAAAAGATCATACATCTGCAGAATATTGCAAACCAATTGCCAGATGCATGTACTGACACAAAAAGGGTGACCAAATCACATGTTGCAGCTATAAATGCCCCTGCTCGAATTGAGATTACAAAAGAAATGGCAAATGATGATGTACCAAATGAATTAAAGGCACGCTTTAAACGAGGAAGACCAGTGGGGTCTAAAGATAAGAATCCTCGAAAGAAAAGAGAAATTCAAGATTCGAATTTGAAAAAGAATCAAGATGATGGAAAAATTTCGGGACGAAATGAAAATATTGAAATCTCCATCAATTACGTAAATATGGGAAACTTTGGAAGCGTGATGAGATCATTGATGATGCATTCGCATATATGGTATCACAAGAAATTAACAAAGAAGTTGAGGATCCTGAACCAAAATCTATAACTGAATGTCAGAAAAGACATGATTGGGACAAGTGGAAAGGTGCTATTCAAGCCGAGTTAGATTCACTTAATAAACGAAAGGTGTTTGGACCTATAACCATTATACCCAAAGACATAAAACCTATTGGATACAGATGGGTTTTTTTCAGAAAAAAAAAATGAGAAAAATGAGATCACAAGATATAAAGCTCGTCTTGTAGCACAGGGATTCTCCCAGAGGCCTGGGATCGATTATGATGAAACATATTCCCCTGTTATGGATGCAATTACTTTCAGATACTTGATTAGTTTGGCCATCCATGAAAATCTTGAGATGCGTCTCATGGATGTTGTGACTGCTTACTTATATGGATCGCTAGACGCTGATATTTATATGAAAATTCCAGAAGGAATTAGAATACCCGAGGCGCTAAAGTCCAAACCTAAAGAGTTATGTGCGATAAAACTGCAAAGATCATTGTATGGCTTGAAACAATCCGGGCGTATGTGGTATAATTGTTTGAGTGAACAATTACTTAAACGGGGATACATAAATAATCAAATATGCCCGTGTGTTTTATAAAAAAAATCACAAGATGGAGTTGTGATAATTGTTGTCTATGTCGATGATCTTAATATTATTGGGACTACAAATGAAATCTAAGAAACAGTCACTTTACTGAAAGGCGAGTTTGAAATGAAAGATCTCGGACAAACCAAATATTGTCTCGGCTTGCAAATAGAACGAGTCCAAAATGGGATATTTGTCCATCAATCTAGTTACACTAGAAGAGTACTGAAATGATTCAATATGGACAAGGCTAATCCACTTAGTGCCCCAATGGTCAATCGAACATTAGATGTTGAAAAGGGTCCATTTCGACCTTGTGATGAAGTTGAAGAAATACTTGGTCCTGAAATACCATATATGAGTGCAGTAGGGGCTCTTATGTATCTTGCTAATTGCACCAGACCAGATATATCTTTCGCTACCAATTTATTAGCAAGATATAACTCGGTACCTACAAGGAAACATTGGAATGGAATCAAGCATATATTCCGTTATCTCCAAGGGACAATCGATTTAGGACTGTTTTACTCTAATGATAAAAAACATGAAATAATCAGTTTTGCAGATGCAGGATATCTATAAGACCCCCATAAAGCAAGATCTCAAACCGGCTATGTTTTCACGATTGGTGGAACTGCATTTTCTTGGCGTTCGAAACAAACATTAGTTGCGACGTCTTCAAACCATGTTGAGATCATTGCACTTCATGAAGCAACTAGGAAAAGTATCTGGCTCAGAAACATGACTCAACATATTCAACAAGCCAGTGGACTATCGAACAATAACGACCCAACGGTGATATACGAAGACAATGCAGCATGTGTAGCTCACACAAAAGAAGGATACATCAAGAATGACAGAACTAAACATATCCCGCCGAGGTTCTTCTCATATGCGCAAGAGCTTGAAAGAAACAAACAAATCAAAGTTTAATACGTTCGATCAAGCGATAATGCAGCTGATTTGTTTACGAAGGCGCTTCCGACAACAATGTTTCGAAAGCACATACACAATATTGGAATGAGACATCTTCGGGATTTGCACAGATGATAACTCGAGGGGAAGTATGTGCGGCTGTACTCTTTTTTCCTTATCTCGGTTTTTTCCCACAGGGTTTTTCCAGATAAGGTTTTTAACGAGGCAGCATAAACGCACATTTAATAGTGGTAACTTCAAGGGGGGGTATTATGAACAAGTGGATTTACCACTAATAATAAAATTTATCTTTTCATTCATTATATTAAGGGTCAGTTTGGTTGCCATAATGGATTCAGCATGATATAATCATTCTTGATAAAATCAAAGGTTATCCAATAATTCAAGTAGCACATTAACTTGTTTGGTTTAGAATTGAATGATATATCATTTAAGTTGAAATTACTTTTGTATCCTTCATTTAAAAGTAAATTTTCAAAATTTACACTTTACACGAAACACTCTCTGTTCATCTCCACATTCTTCCTCACCCACCACCGCCAATTGGATGGATTGTGCAAAAAATTAATCTCAATATCAATTAAATAAAATCCTAATTGACGTTCTTGTTCCAAATTTTTTTTTTAAAAAAAAAGAAGCCCCAAATGGCAGAAAAAAAAAAAAGAAAACCCAACAACAAAATCGAATCAAAAATATTGTGTGCCTTCCAAAACTTCTTGAGATAAATTGGGCAAGTGAAAATTTCTGTAGGTTCATTTATTTTGTTGTCTTCTCTAATTTTTTGTGCCTCTGAGAAAGAAGATGTCATAGATCTAAGGAAGAAGATGTCAAAGAGTGATTTGATAGGCCGACAAGAGGTCGACCTTGGAATTATGAGAGTACGACTTCTCGTGCTAGGCGTCGATGAGGGCGGAGATCTCGACGGGGGATGCGGCGAGGGGCGGCGCCGGCCGGGGATGCGGGGCGCCGACGGCAGGGAGGAAGTTTTGGGTGGGAGATCTGGATTGGTGGATAGATGAGAAGAGACACAAAAAACGAAGAATGAGAATGGGTAATTTGGGTATTATACGGGTTTGGAAATAAATGATTCCCCATCCCACCTCAATGCTCGGATACGTAATAACAGAAAAAGGGAAATGAAACCGGGCTTTTACGGATTTAACGGGCTATACAAGGGGCAACCAAACAAACCAAACAAAATAAATAACTTGATATATTAATAAATGGCAAGATATCAAGCCCAATCCTCTAAACCAAACGCAGCCTAAATGTATAGAAAGGTGTGTCAACTTTGCCTATAAAAGGCAAGATATGTATAGCATTTGGAGTACGGAAAAGTGGAAAAAAGAAAAGCTTGTAATAATAATATCCGATTTTTACATTGTGTTCTTTATATTCCCTACATTTTATAACAATAGGATACTTTTGTATGGATGTTGTCATTTTGAATAAGCGGCCCCGCTTTTGGTATTTAGACTAAAAGTGCTGCTCTCTCCTGGCGATTTACCCCAAATTAGAAAACCAGAAACCCTCCTCGCTCAAATCTGCCGCCGCCTCCCCTCTTCCGGGCTCTCCGCGACGCCACGGAAACGGCCGCCACCGGGCCGTGCTGCTCGTCTCTCGAAGCGCCGTCCGTCCTCTCCGGTGTAGTGCTTCGCCGCTCTAGTCGGTCGACTATGTCCAGGCGGGGTTCAGGCGAGTGCTGAGATGGGATCGAGTTGCTGGCTCCAATCGTCTCCATGGAGGTGGTGGGGCCGAGGTTTAGTTCTCCTATTCTCTTTCTCCGTTCTTCCCTGTTGCGGGGGAGTCGGGCCAACTGTGGGTGGCGGGTTGAGGTGTGGTTGCGGGTTGTGGGATGTGGGTGTCGGGTCGGTCTTTTGCCCTCGGTGCTTAGTTGGTGTGTGGGATGAGGTAGAGCTGACCTCCGGTTGCCGGTCTGGAGTGGTCCGCTCGAGTAGTAAATATGGCCTGTGGTGTGGTTTCAGCTAGCCGAGTTTAGCCATCTTGGAGTTTCTGGAGTTATACTCAGCCTGTGTTTCCTATCTGTGTGGGCTGTTATCTTCAGGTGTTGTGTTTGTGGTTTTGCAGATTGTGACCGGTTGAGGGAAGGGTTTATTCTAATATTGTGTATTTATTTATGTTGTTTTGGGTGTTAGTTTGCGTAGATTCTTCTTTTTAGGATTGTGATTCTTCTGTTTAGAAGCGTGATTCTCCTTTTTAGGAGTATGTGTCTTCTCTTTTGAAGTTTGATTCTCGATTGTGGGAGTTTTTAGTTTTGTTGTGTAGTGAGTGCGTTAGATTGGCTTATTCTAGGACACACTTCTGTGTGTTGTCCTCCCGATTCGGCTCGATAGTCGCTTGGCTTATTCCGGCTGATGTCTGGTTGTATTTATGTGTTTTATTTATAAAATCTTTCGAAAAAAAAAAAAAAAAAAATAAGCGGCCCGATCCAGCCCGGCATTTCTCAACAACAAAGCCCGTTCAAGTGTGTGAGAATCTCATTCAAGCAAAACCCCAGTTTCCTCCCTTACTGAAATTTTCTCCATGAGAAAGCTTTCATCTTGGGCTTGCAGGGTTTCACCTGAAATCCAAGACAATGCAGGCAAAATTAATAGCCCTATAAAACCCCCAATCCCAAAATCTTCTTCTGTACTAAAACGTGTTGATCAAAACCCTAAATCTTCCTTTACGGGTAAGCTACAATCCGAAAAATCGGGTACTGATACAATTTCAACTCATCAAGCTCAACTTCAGGCTGCCGAGAGAAGATTCATCTCAAAACCCATCGATCATCATTATCTCAATGAAATTCTTTCGAGGAAAGACTGGTTTTTATTGCTAAACCATGAAATGAAGGCGCGGAGGCTCAACGTGAATGCTCGGGTCTTGGTTAGCATTTTGCAGAATCAAGAAAATGCTTTATGCGCCTTACGATTTTACGTTTGGCTTTCGAATTTCAGTTCTTCGCTTGCAAAGAACAAATCCGTTCACAGTGCTTTAAGCAATTCCCTATGCAGAAAAGGTCCGGTTTTGTTATCTTCTGAATTGATACATGAAATTAAGAACTTGGGGTGCCAATTAGATGAGGGATTGCTCTGCTCTTTGATTGGTAGCTGGGGAAGATTGGGGTTGGCAAAGTACTGTTCCGAGGTTTTTCAGCAGGTTTCGTATTTGGGGATTTTTCCTAGTACGAGATTATATAATGCGGTAATTGACGGGCTAGTGAAGTCAAATTCACTAGATTTAGCCTACCTCATGTTTCACCAAATGGAGGTGGATAATTGTGTAAGGGATAGATTTACATACAATATTCTCATTCATGGTGTATGTAAGGCTGGTGTAATGGACGAGGCCCTTCGTCTAGTGAAACAAATGGAGGGATTGGGGTACTTGCCCAATGTGTTCACATATACCATTTTAATCGATGGATATTTAAATGCGAGAAAAATAGATGAGGCGTTCAGGCTTCTTGGGAGAATGAAGACTAGGAATGTGAAGCCAAATGACGCCACTTATAGATCACTAATCAATGGCGTTTTTCGTACTTTGCCCCCTGCTCAAGCTTTTGAGTTGTTATCGAGATGGGTGAATAAGGAGCCCAATCTTCCTAAAGTTGTTTGTGATAGCATAATTTATTGTTTGTGTACTAATTCCTTACCTAAGCAGGCCGCTGAATTTTCAAAGACAGCAGGTGAACGGGGTTATGTTCCAGATAGTTCAATATCTAATATTGCCTTGACTTGTTTGATAAAAGGATTAGATCTCGATGAAGCGTGTCAGATGTTTGAGTTTTTCATTGAGCGTGGGGTGAAGGTGGATTTAAGTACTTGCCTGGCACTTATTGAGGAATTATATAAATCGAGAAGGGAAGAAACAGGCAATGAGTATTTAAGCCGGTTAATCCAAGAAGGACACGTCGCTAATGTATTTTCATATAATATGATGATTGATTGCTTCTGCAAAGCGAAAATGATGAACAAAGCCATGGAGACTTTTATGGTAATGTCCAAAAGGGGTGTTTTTCCTAATCTTGTTACTTTCAATACCCTCATCGCAGGCTACAGTAAGGTTAGGGATGTAAAGAAGGCACGGGAACTGCTACTTATGCTATTTGATCAGGGTTTAAAACCAGATGTGTTCACTTTCAGTTCGATTATCGATGTTCTATGCCAGGTTAATCAGATTGCCGATGCTTTTGACTGTTTCTTGGAAATGATAGAGTGGAGGATTAATCCCAATGCAGTCACGTATAACAGCTTAATTCATTCATTGTGTATCTCAGGGGACATTTTGAAAGCAATGAGATTATTGAAAAAGATGAAAATTGATGGGATATTGCCCGATGTTTATACCTTTAACGCTTTAATACAAAATTATTGTAAACTTGATAAAATCGATAAGGCCCAGAGGCTTCTCGCAAGCATGTTGTCACTCGGTTTGCGTCCAGATAATTTTACGTACGTTGCTTTTATTAGTTGTCTGTGTCAATCTGGGAGGTTCGGTGAGGCCAGAGATTTGTTTTATTCAATGGAAGAAAATGGATGCAGACCTGATGCTTATACGTGCAATTCATTCATTGATGCCTTGGTAAAATCTGGAAAATATCAAGAGGCTCAAGATGTGTGGATGGAATATGAACAGAAGGGAATTATTTTGAAGCCGTTGCCTACAGAGTCCCGAGGTGTGGTTGGTTGATTTTTGTATGAAAGAGATAAAAGAGTTTGGGTTGCTTTTTGAGCAGATTGGCTTTGCCTGCCAGTACAAATACAAGCAAAAAGTCTTTATATATTTTAGAAACCCCGAGCTGTGTGGCTGGAACTCAAAGTGGTCATGCGATTCAGAGAAGGTATTGTTTGGTACAGCACTTTAATAGGTATGAATTATGTATCTTTTGAAAAATTCTCTGGTGCTGTTTGTCTTTTCCTTTCATTTTGTTTTCCTTTGTTTTTTGATACATCATTGGTTGCTCATCTGATCTTTATGAGATGATTAAGTGGGCCCATATGATGTGAGGTGTGCTATGTGGCTTAGTGATAAACGCGTTGAAGGTTTCATTTTGCCAGAGTGTTTATATATCACATAATTTTTAGTGCACGCTGAGTCTACTTATAAGAGTAAAAGTGGCTAATGTTTAATCTATCTGATGTATAGAGAAACATGAGAAGTGAAGTGCACCTGACCAGAACAAAGCCATTTGCAGTCAATAAAACCACGATTTAAGTCGATACACTTGTGGATATTTGAGAAAACAACGATAAGAATAATCTAAATAATTTTTCAGAATTTTCGGTCAATCAGTTGTACCACGGAATGAATCATGAGAGTGTGTTATTAAGTGATGTGTTTGTAGAGCTTATTTGGTTAGATTTCAATTCTAAATCTTGCAAATTTTTCGGTTTCGAATTTAAAAATTCTTGTTTATGCCTATGCTAAATTGGTGTAAGTGTTGTGCTGTGTTAAATTTGGTCTGCAATTTGGTGTTGTTGAGAATGAAATCTTCCTTGTTATATTAAACAATCATCAGTCAGAACTAAATGTTAACTTGTAGTAAAAGGCTTTATGTGCAGGTTTGATTTCCAGCAAATGGACAATAAAGTATGAGAGTTGGTGAGTTAAGTCCTACCTTCCTTTCCTCATTGGCACCTTTATTTTGAGTCAGATTGCTTATCAGCTTACTGTATTTTATTTATTTACTTTACCTTGTGACTTTTTCAGAACCTTGTTTCTTGATTGAGGATGAACTCTTCTTCTACAAGACAATCACAACTAGATAAATTATATCACTCTGGTTGAAAATCGGAGATGATAATTGTTCGAAAATTCTTTTCATTTATATCTATATATAGTAATATACTTGGCCTCTAATCTAACCTGCTCTGAAGGCATAGTAATTTTAATAGCAAGCATAATGGCATTCTCAGCATCCATTGACCATTGGTTTTTATTGTCAATTGTGTTTTACATCTTTGCTTCAATTTGCAAATTTGGTATGCATGTCGAAATTTTATTGGAAATTACCTTTATAGTTATCAAGGTTTTAAATAGCGGGCTAAAACGTTTATGGTACTGTAGCTATAGCGGAGTTATAGCGGGATTTAGCGGCTAAATTGCACATGAATACAAATAGTGGCACGCTGCCAAAAAAAACTATTTCTCAAATAGCAGCAACTTTAGCGAGCTATTTATTTCCTTGATAGTTATTTATGTTATATGTTATTCTTTTTTTTTTTCTTTTAATAGGAAGGGCGTATGAATATCCTCACCTAGGAGCTGCAGGAGTAGTTGCTGATGAGTATTTGCCTAAAGCAGAGGTTGAAGGAGAGACTAATCAGTTCTTTCCTGAAGCTGGGATAATAGGCACAAGTCCTGCTCTTATTTTCAACAAGGCCCTTGGATGTTTTAGCGACAAATATGTAAGTAAAAGAAATGGTTAATTCCGAAAAACCACTGTAAGGTTTACGAAAAACCAAGTTATCTTTCAGAATTACAAATATCCTTCTTAGTGTGACAAAATTCCCTAGTTAGAACTGAAATAAAAATAAAAATATCTTTTGCAGTTCTAACCTGATTATTAATTGTATTACTATATTGCAAATACTTGAAGTATCACCAAATCCTCTTTGATGTTGGCATTTTCTGAACTAAAATCCTCCAAAAGTGAGGAGCAAATTTGTTTGTGTGTGTAAAATATCAATGGAAGAACAACATTCGTGCAGATATACAGCCGCTGTAATGAAGCTCACAGGCTCACTCAAAGTGGGTTACTCAATGTTCCACTTGGATACACTGATGAATATTGTAATGGGCCATGTTTAGGAGAGACGAACCACGTTTTAGACTGTGTCGGTGGATTCCTAAAAGGGTTCATATTTTACAATAAGGCAACGCTTAGAGATATAAGAGACACCCTCGAGTCTGGATGTGGCTATGGACCTTTAAGAGGTAAATTAGTACTTGATGAGATCTTTTTTTATTCAGTTTTGTGTAATGTAGGGAGCACTTTTGTGAGTGTTTCGAGTTCTTACAGGCAACTTTGATGTGGTTCGGAATATTCAAGCCGGTGATGCCAGCAAGTACAAGGCGTCTAAGCATGTCGTTTATGCACTCGTGGTGATGATTATCGGTTGGAGATTAGCGATCTAATTCATGCTGTATTCAGTGGAACAATTTCTTGATTTTCTCTGAGATGATTGTATATGTATACGTTATATGTGTACATATATTTGTTAACAATTTCTTGATTTTCTCTGAGATGATTGTATACGTATACGTTATATGTGTACATATATTTGTTAGTTATGCCATAGTATGATACTCGTGTACTACACAAGTATAAATATTTGTAAAATGAAAAAAAATAAAATAATTTATTTTTATTGTGAAATTATGTACACTTAGCGTACAATTAGTAATCATCTTGTGCGCTTGCACAAATATATATAAAATATTATAAATAAATATGTGTGAATTTAATGTTAAAACTAGTATTAGACCCTGTGCATTTGCACAAATGTAAATAAAATATTGTGAGTTATTTATATGCATATAATGTAAATAAAGTATTGTGAGTTATTTATATGCATATAATGATTAATTATTTTTTTTTTATTTTTATCAGGCCGAATTTACAACTAAAAGAGTGGGAATTTTTTTTTTTTTAAATTGCGTTTATCTAATTAGATGTAATGTATATTTGGGTATGTTTTTTTTGTGATTTATTTATTATTTATTTAGGAATTTCAAATAAGTTTTTTATTTTTGTAAAAAAATGAATTTAACGTAACCACAATAATAACATCTAATCACATTATACGGTCAATATATAGAACGGTCAACTGTTAGTAATCAAAAATTTAAAATGATTTTTGTTGTTTTGAAGTGATTAGTATTGATTATTTAATAATTAAATGAAATATTAAATACATTAAAAGTAACGGTTTTTGGAGGGAAATGGTTAATTGCCACATAGGTAAAATTAAATAGGTTTTATTAAATGCTATTAGCTAGTAATTATATATATATAGATTTAGATAATGAACATATTCCATTTTCAAGATTTGATCATTAAGAAAAATAAAACCACATAAAGATAATATTTTTAGTATACATGAATCTATATATTGGCGCCGGAATATGCACGGCCAGGGGTCGTCTTGGCCGCCCTCCACCTTCCCCTGACGTTTCGCTCCTTCGATTCACTGTGGCTGGCGTCGTGTTGGGCTCCTCTTCCCGGTAGCGAATGGGGCTTTCTTTGGCGGCTGCGCCTCTGCCGATTCGCGACAAAATTGAGACCGGTTTTCCATCGTCTCGCGCAGTCTTCGTCCCCATTGGAGATGGTAAGGCCTTTGCTCTATCTCTTGCCCTTGTCTATTATGGTTGGATTAGGTTGCTCGCGGAGTGGCTCCGCTTCCCTGGAGGGGCTCTGTTCCCTTGTCGTCGGTTGGTTGTAGTGTGGTCGGTCGGGGCTAACGTCGTCGGGTGGGAAGGGGCCCCGACGGCTGTGGTGGTTCAAGCCGCGACGGTTGGGGCTGAAGGCACGATCTCCCCTCACCCTCTCGGTTCGGCTAGTGGTGTTAGGCGGCCGGGATTTGGTGTTATCCGCCTCATCTAGTCTCGGGTGACGCCGGTGTTGGGGTTGATTGCGGCTTTCTCGGTCTTTGACGGGTTGATTCGAGGAAGGATTTAGGGTTCAGATTATCTTACTGTATAGGCCTTTCGCAGTTTCGGTAGGAGCTTCTGGATCTCGACTTCTTCTTGTGTCAATCGTTTCACAGCTGGTTGTGCTATTTCGTGCGACGTGGAAGGGCTTTGTTAGTTTTCCTTATTATAGTTTGAGTCTGTGTTAGTTTAGTGTTTTTGGTGTGGGCTTTTGCCTGAGTGTTTATGTTTGTCTTTTTGGTCTGGGCCGTTGGCCCCTGTGTTGATTACCCCGTGGGGGTCGATTCTATTCTTCTGTGGGAAGCGATTTTAGTTGGTGGTTTTGTTAGTTGTTGTGTTGTTTGAGTCTGTAGTGTGTTTGAGTGTCTCTTTTCTAGCTTGGCTAGTTGAGGTTCTAGGCGGTCTTCTGACCTGTCCTCTCTTTTTTATTCAGCTGTGGGCTGCGTTCCAAGTTGTATCTTTGCACATTTGTGCCTTTGTTATATATATCCTCTTTCGTTTTAAAAAAAAAAAAAAAAAAAGAATCTATATATTGATTGAAAAAAGGTTGTGGGTGATGCAATATTTATAGTTTGGAGGGATCATAGTCAAATAATTTAGTTGAATTGTTTTTTTTCGAAATGATAGAGATATTATATAACTAAAAAGCCGCACAAAGTGCGAAGATAAAGCAGTCAAAAGCTGAAAAGTACAACGAAATGTTGAATAGACTGAGAGGACAAATCCGAAGATCGCTTAGAACCTGACCTAGCAACGCTGGAAACACATTCTCGCAACTACACAATATCAACTATACAAAAAAAAAA